ATGTTTACTATAATATTTCGAGCTCTGTCAATTTTTGATATTAGATGATCGAGTTTAGCCTAACACGCGATTATATTACATAAAAAACTAAAAAATAAAATTAATGTGTAAAGATCTAACAAAATTATCTGTTAAGTCTTGAAGACAACCTTCTTATGAGTAAAAACTTTGTCAATTAGTCGATTTACAACCCAGAAAGAAGAATTGTTAATAGAGTCATAAAACAATTAACATTTATTGACTCTCGCGGTAGGGGGATAACGCGAAGTCTATTAACAAATCTTTCTGAATGAGTCGTCGTTCATCTCCATTTACAAATAAACCCAATGACAATTGTGAAACTTGAGAAAATTTAGAGCTAGTTCAAACTTGACTCGATTATTTTTTGCGTTTTTTGGATCAAATTACATAAAAATAAACATTAATTTAAAAACACAGTTTTGTCAATACACAAGTAATTTATACTATTAGAAAAAAAAGCAAAGCGCAGAATTTAACGGAAAAATTGTAGTTCCTTTACGAGATAGATAAAATTTATAATTTTATATTAAAAACACGGGGTCCGAAAGATCGACCGGGCCTCAGGCAAGGGTAAGGATTCACTTGACTCAGAAAGAGTGCAAAATTGTCAAAATGCACTAACTTCGTAGACCTCTATTTCATTCTTAGCCTATACTTTATTATTTCACAGGAATTGCATGATTACTTAAATGAATTTACGGCAATTCTTGACATTATTCAGAGAGTAATTAAGCAAAGGATTATATATACTGTCAGCTTACTGCAAGTTTATGTTACGTTTTGTTTGTTTAATTTATAATGATAAGTATACAGTAGAAATGAAATAAGTGATGGATATTCTAATAACACAACTTAGATGGAGATATGAAAACATATGGGATTTCGTCTGACTACAAATTTTTAACAGGTGAAAAATTAAAGTCCATTGAAAATTTTAAAAAAGTAGCTTGGGATTTATTCTCTAAATATCTAAACAATATAATTTTCTGTTAAATTATTACTAATTTCAAAAATAAGGCAATGACTTTAATCCCAGATCTTAAAGCAGCTACAAGTTTAAATCTTATAAAAAGGATTAATGAATATAGTTTAGTTTATCAGAGCGAATCAGAAAATACAAAAATATTAAAACAATTAATGTGCCAACAATGCAAATATATTTAAAAAAGTAGTAGTAGTAGTAATAACTATAATAATGTTCAATGATAAACTCCGTAAAATAAAAATAAAAACTTTCTGAATTAGAAGTAATGTAATAAAAGCAACATCAACTCAAATATGTTTATATAATAACGTGAAGTTTCGGTAGCCTGGCAGTGAAGCGACCTGTCATTCGTGTTAATGTGATAGGTTTGATATCGGAATAATACAAGAGAAGAGAACTTCGTATAATGAACGGAAGTGGCGGCCAATGTTGGACTAATGAGAGGCGATACTGAATGGAGAAAAAGAGAAACAAAGAACAGACGATAAAATCAAAATAGTTGTCGGAAATCGAAGATTTTATAGATATAAGAAAAATAAGAGCGACACTCAACGGAGAAAAAGAGAAAGAAAAGAAAAGCCAGACGACTCTTGCAATATGCCTGATCCAGTAACAGAAGAGATTAGAAAATTAATTATTCGTCACAGAGAGGAGGGCAAAACCGTGCGCGAGATAGCCGAAATGTTCAAGCTTACCTCGCGCACAGTTGTCAACATTTCAAAGCGTCACCGTGAAACTGGCAGCGTTTCAGCAAAAAGTTGTCGGAAATCAGGATAATAGAACGTTGTTGATATAACAATGTGGTGAATGAAATGATTTTTTTTTCAGTGAAAATAATAAACAGTTATTACTGTGACCTTAACACACAACTCTACCCCTTCTTCAGTTACAAAGAAGCATATGTCATTCATTGAAAGTTGAAATAATTGACACTGTAATAAAGCACTTGTCGGTTTGTTTACGTTAAAAAT